CGTGTGGAGTCGTGTAGTTTGTAGTTTACACAGTGTGGAGTCGTGTAGTTTGTAGTTTACACAGTGTGGAGTCGTGTAGTTTGTAGTTTATACAAAATAAAACTTGATAAATGTTGTTCTTCCCTTAGTCCAGAGATTGGTGTCAGTACGTTCCACATCAACATTCCTCAAGTTGAAGTGTTTGCTGATACACACGAGGAGTTCAGTAATGAGGAAGAATCAAACATAGATATTGATCTGGAGTGTCTTCCTGTTCTAGGCACAGCAAGAGCCCTCTATGCTTTTGATGGTAAGTTCAAGTGTTTTTCTGTTAACTTATGAAAACTTCCTAGACTGAACTAACTGCACCTTATTCTTTACTGTTATTTATAGGTACTGACTTTGTATACTTACTCAAACATTTAGTATTAAAAGCATTGCTTCACAGATTTAATATTTTTTTACATCATATTGCATGATGAAAACTTTTCCTTACAAACCTTTAGCAGTCAATACTTTAACAGCTGTAGCAGTCAATACTTTAACAGCTGTAGCAGTCAATACTTTAACAGCTGTAGCAGTCAATACTTTAACAGTTGTAACAGTCAATACTTAAACAGTTTAACAGTCAATATTTTAGCAGCTGTAACAATCAATACTTAAACAGCTGCAATAGGTACTATTCAAATGTTTAAAAATAACAATTTCCATATGGATATTAGCTCTTAAGTGGAAACAATATGTATTAAGGTTATGAAAATGAAACAATGTTGAATAAAGCGTTATTCAAATCAGGCAAAATAAGGTCGACAAGTTACTTTTAAAAACTGTTACAATACTTCTGTCCATTCACGTTTAATATAGCAAAATTGCTGAGAAAGGTAACTTTCATTACAAAGTACAACTCAAAGTTTAATCACACGACCAATAAGCCAAACAAACAAGAAATTTTCCGTACAACCCACTATTAAGTGCCATAAATATAGAATGAAATGGACACCAGATTTTTCCTGTCGAAAACAAAAACCTGTAATTCTTGTATGCTTCACACTATCAGCTGTGTGAGGCATTGTAACTGTTATAGCAATCCCACTGTTTGGTTAGAAATAGATATTGGATTCTGCCAACTTGTTTCCTTTCATCTGATCAGCATTTCTAGATTAGGGAGGACCATGCACGAATCTTAAGAGTCTTAGAGATCACCATTTAGCTGTTGTGTTGTATAGAATGTACCAGATTCCTGCACAATCAGATCTGGATAATGTTTTTTTCACTGATACACAAAGGCTTCAGTTAATAATATGTTGTGGTTATATTGTTAATCCATTTATTAGTTCACTGATCGAAGTAGCTGACCTAATAGAACTTTTTATAGTTTCAGTGGTAAATATTAACCATAAATCACTATTTTTCCTTGAATGAAGAATTGGGTGTGTCCTAGTGGTTGATGTGCCCGGACTGAATATGAAAGCTCGTGGCTTCCGTCCTATTGCCACAGAAACACACCATGTATTTTGTGGCCATGGTTGTGCTATAAGAGTGACAGTCAAATCCCACTGTTTGGTCACACAAAAGTAGCCTCAAAACTGGAAGTGAGCATTATTTACTAGTTGCCTTTCTTCTAGTATGTTAGTTCAAAATTAGTGAGGGCTATACATAGACAGCCCTTGTGTAGGTTTGTGCAATAATCCTTGAACAAACAATGAGTGGGTGATAAAGCTAACACTAAAATAATAAAGATAAAAATCAGTTAATGGGAATAATTATTTTAAAAGTCAGTTTGTTTATTTTTTCGGTATGAATGTCATGTACAGCTCAAAGTGAGGGGTCCATCCCCATGGAAGAAGGGGAGGAATTTGAAGTCCTAGAATTAGACCAAGGAGATGGCTGGACTAGAGTTCGCCGAGGAGACTTTGAAGAAGGCTTTGTTCCAACCTCTTACATTCAATCTTTTCTCTATAACAACTGTTAACCACCAGATTTGTTTTTTAGTATGCAGTAATGTGAGGACTACAATATATAGGTAGGCATATATGTAGGTATGTTTCTTTAGCTTCAGTTGCATGTATTAGATATTGATGTTCGTTTTACGTTTACAAAGAATTCTCAGTGGTCATAAGTCTTTTAAAATGAATTATTTACAGTTCACCTTAAATCACGCAGAATTTATTCTTAAGTTTTTTTAAATATTTAAACCCCGCATTAGTCTTCTGTAAAAAAAATTCCATAATCACTCTTCCAGGCTCCTAGCGGACTCCATCATAGAAAAATTAATTTAAAAATATTAAATAATAATAAACTATTTTATTAATCAATAACTGAACATTGAATATTACAATTTGTTTCTTGTTTACCAACTAAACTAAGTGTAACTATTTAATACAAACTAGCCAAATACTGAAGCTACTTAGAACAATAAACATGTATGTGCTGCCACCTGTAGGCACTGATATTTACAAAATATTTTCCTTTATTAATCAATAACCGAACATTGAATATTACAATTTGTTTCTTGTTTACCACCTAAACTAAGTGTAACTATTTAATACAAACTAGCTAAATATAGAAGCTACTTAGAACAATAAACATGTATATGCTGCCACCTGTAGGCACTGATGTTTACAAAATATTTGGGGATCCGTGAAGACCCCAGAAGACTAATGCAGGGTTAAGGTCTTTTTACTTTCAAGTTTTTTGGTTCTTGATTTAAGTATTTTCTTTGATGGCATTTTTGTTTTTAAAAAAAAGAAATATTAAAATATTGGTTTCTTTTATATTTTTAATTCCAGGTTCTTTGATGTGAGTTTTATTTTGTATGGATCTGCAACGCACCAAGTTATGAAAGGATGAATTCATCTCAAAAAGCAATGCAAGTTTCTTTGCTGCTAGCATGGGAGCTGTATCCACGAAGTGAATGTGTGATCCGAAATCAACCAAAGGATAAACTGCTTTTCTAATAAAATGATGGTTGTTTCCATAGACGAGTAATGTATATTCTGCATGGTGTTGAAAGTGAAGGCTTCACTAACAAGAACAAGCTGGCATGTTTGTCAACTGTTTTTAAATATATAGACACACATTACACAGTTGGATTCTTGAATGAGTGTTATTCTGCAAGAATTGAGGAGAAGAACTCTGATAAAAGATAATAAAAAAATAAGTTGACACGTCTAAATGAAAACTTTTCCATGTTTATTTTGTGCGACACTTCGAGCAGATACCTTTTCTGAGCCTAATTCCGTCGTAACAGGCCTTTACTGCTTTATGAAGGGTGTCTGCCTGAAATGTCGCACAAAATAAACTAGACAAAATGTTAATTTAGAGTGTCAAGTTATTCTTTATTATCTTTTATCAGACAGCCGAACGCATACTGTTGTATGTAATATTTGTGAAAATTCTCCTATCTTTTATCCAAGTCAGACAGCCGAACGCATACTGTTGTATGTAATATGTGTGAAAATTCTCCTGGTGCGGATTTTCGCACCATGATTTTATTTATGATTCTTAGTTAAGGGTAAGTTGTAGTGAGATGACTGTAATTTTATACAAATTCTGGAAATTGTACATTTTCACTATTTTAGAATGTTGTATAATCTCGTACTGATTGGTAATAGGAAGCCGTTTTGTAATACTGCATGTTAATCGAATACTCAAAACCAACAAATGTTTTATTATTTTTTTGGGGGGGGGGGTCTTCTTTGTACACGGTGTATGAAAGGAACACTATTATGGTATGCCATTATGAACAAAAGTTGGAGATTACTCGTTACAGTTGAGGACCATTAGAAAGAAAAAAAACTACATTTAAAGTAATGGAATTCTTTTGCATCTTGAAAAACATCTGTAAAATTGTAAATTGAGATAAGCATACAAGTTATAATTTAAGTTTTTACTTTTCCAAAGTATAAAAGATAGGCTGAACTGTAAAGTTTGGCTAACAGTTGAACCGAGCACTCAGCTTTGTGATTCTAAACACGTTGACTTATTGTTATTTTATTACAAGCAATAGCTTTTACAGTAAAGAAGAATAGGTTTCGATCACTGGAGAAATCCTTCTCAGGTACACAAGTTTTACCGAGAAAAGAAGAAAAATTCTAATATCTTCTACCGAAAGCTTCTTTACCGTTAAAACTTGTATGCTTGGGAATGATTGCACCAATGATCAAAACCTGTTCTACAAAAAATGTACTTTTTCGGTGTAAAAACTGTAACATAATAAAATAATAATCAGTAAGTAAACTATTAATGTTGACTTATTGTTGGAGGTCCTTCCTTTAAAAGTGTGTGTTAGAAATACAGAAATTTTGTTACCAGACTATATTTTTTTTAAATACTTCAAAAAAAAAAGTATTGGATATTGTAATACACTAATTTCTACTGGCTAAAAGAAATAACTACAGAATCACAGAGAATGGTTTAGAATAGTTTTATTTTTTGTATAGTATATTAGTATGTTAACATGATTAATTAGTAGATTTATACAAGATAGTTTGTATGCTTCCAAGATTTCTTAACTCTGAATCTTTAATAATTACTGCCAGTCTTAACAAGATGGAGGAGGGCAGTGAAGTATATCTGGTGTGTGAAGTGACTCGTTGATAATTATTGGTTATATATATATAGCTAGTGTTAACAAGATGGAACTGGTTGTGATAAAGAGGAGAGGGGTGAAGTATATCTGGTGTGTGAAGTGACTCGTTGATAATTATTGGTTATATATATATATATATATATATAGCTAGCGTTAAGAAGATGGAACTGGTTAAAAGAGAGATAAAAGTTTATAAATGAATTTTGGTTAAACAAGTGTTGTTCACCAGATACTTCGTATTCGTATGTTTTTGAAATGCTAGAAAATAAATTAGTAAAATATATATATATATATATATGTAAGAGAACTTATGTTACCATATTAACTTAGAGTGAGACTTCTAGGTTCAATAAAATATTTCTTAAGTTGCTTCTTGTGTAAAATAATGGCTGGGTAAGTGGTATGATAATGGATAGCTTTGCTCAACATTGGGTTTGTTAAAGATCTGTCTTGTTTAGAGTTATATTTTAACACCACAGCTATGCTTGTTTTGCTGTTATTTGAAGGCATACATCTTAAAGTATAGTATTAGATATAGAAAACTTGACAAGAAGGAATCTAAGAATTTAGTATGCCATTTTCAGTCATAAGTTATAACTGTGATGAATTACTGAAGTAAAAACTTTTGTCATAGTTTTATATGCGAGTGTGTAAAAAAGAAGAGAGATAGCTCCTAATAACGAGTGTGACCTGGTGTTAACACCTTTTTAATCTTCAGATAATATGCCACTGCTACCTCTTGTTTTAAAACCATCATAGACAGTGCTTGTAAGAATCATGAGTTGCAAAAAAAGTTGATCTAATTTGTTTTAAAATCATGAAGTTTTTAAGCCTAATTTTGTGACAGCTGTGTGGATCTGATATATTTGATAAACAACACTAACATAGTCGTAGTATTTTTGTGTGAAATAATTTTTTTTTTTTTCAATATTTGAAAGTGGATAACGGACAAAAAGTTGGTGAAAAACGTTCTAAACTTTTAATTGTTATATGTTGTCGACGTGGGATTTTTAGCTTAGCGTATCAAGTTTTCATGTAAATGTTGATAGTACGATATTGGTGAAAAGGTGCCATTTGAGATACTCTTCGTGCAAATACTCACATTTTAGGAATATTTCTGCATGTTTAGATGCAATGTTGTTGTTTTTTTATACATTTCAAATGCTGTGTGATCTGTTAATGAGCTTAAGAGAGGTGACACATTTTTTTTAACTTTGTGATTTTCCAGAAGTGCCCTTCATTAATGAATTTTAATGTAAACGCTGTTTGTATGTGTGTAGTTTTTAACCAACATAAGTATTTTTGTTAGAAGCTACAAAATTTCTATAGGAATTCCAGAATTTTTTATTATGGTGGCTTGTTGTAACATTACATGTTTAGAAGCAACTTTATCTAAATTTTTTTACACGAAATATTTTTGTATAATGTTTTATAATAAATCCTTTGTTTGCTAAAAAAAATAAAATAGAAAACTGAGAATATATGACAACAGAATTAGAAAAAAAAACGATTAGAAACTTGGTAAATATTTTTCAAAATTCTTCGGTACTTGTTAGATTTCAAAAGGCTGAATATATAAAATTAGTTACTCATGGGGTAAAGATGAGGGTGGTAGTACTATAAATTAGTAATTTTCTTAGCTTCCAGTACATTATATTTTTAATCTGTTACACATTTAGATGTGGTCAGGAGAAACTCTGCTGATAAAACATTTTAATCCTTACTGAGATCTCAACATGACTAAAGCCGTTAGTACCTAGTTTTACAATTTTTTATGGATTTTTTTTTATTGTAATCAACCATACTTTTATATAACAAGATGTCTTGGATTTTATCTACATGAATGTTTTTATTTATAGGTTTGAATATCTGCTTTTGACTTGTTTAACAAAATGTGGCACATATTTGAATTTTTCTTTGACTCTTTACATCTGTTTCATGATGAAACTTGTATATATATATTCATTTTTGTCAAGATTGCATATTCTCAAATGATGGCAATGCTTTGAAGTAAACATTTTATAAATAGACCTTATACAATATTAGAGCATCCCAAATCTTTCAGAACCGAGTGCTTAATCTGCATTTTAACTAAATAAGGATGATAGTCATGTGTTATTAGTAATTAGAAAAACATTAAACATGACTTCAGTACTTAAAAATATACACCATCCTAGTCATCATCACTTATGTCTTGCTGATTCTGAAATAAAGGAAAATTAAACTGAGGCAAAATGTTATTTTTCTCGTTTTTTCAATTTTAGCATAACAGTAAATTATTTATGTTATCTAACTTTTCACATACCATTAGCACTGACAACACTATCCTACATACCACAATTCACATTAACAACATACCATATTTTACATCGGGGCTGTGATTTAAATTTCTTGTTCAAACAACATGTTTTTTATTTAATTTGTGGTACATTAGTGTTAAAATATCACCTACAGTTTACAGTGAGGGTCAGTGATCACAGTTTACAGTGATAGTCAGTGTATCACCTACAGTTTACAGTGATGGTCAGTGTTCACTGCATCACCTACAGTTTACAGTGATGGTCAGTGTATCACCTACAGTTTACAGTGATGGTCAGTGTATCACCTACAGTTTACAGTGATAGTCAGTGTATCACCTACAGTTTACAGTGAGGGTCAGTGATCACAGTTTACAGTGATCAGAGTTTAAAGTGATGGTCAGTGATCACAGTTTACAGTGATCAGAGTTTAAAGTGATGGTCAGTGTATCCACTACAGTTTACAGTGATCAGAGTTTAAAGTGATGGTCAGTGTATCCACTACAGTTTACAATGATAATGAACTGTATTATATATGATTTACAGTACAACTCTAGCTTCATTGGTTGAAATACATTTCAAATACCGAGTTATCTAAATCTCACTCGTGGAAACACTGACTATCACTGTAAACTGTAGGTGATACACTGACCATCACTGTAAACTCTAGATGATACACTGACCATCACTGTAAACTCTAGATGATACACTGACCATCACTGTAAACTGTGATCACTGACCATCACTGTAAACTCTAGATGATACAGTGAACACTGACCATCACTGTAAACTGTAATATAGTGGATGTTTTGTTATCATGTAGAATGGTAAGAGGCAGTTGTTGTTTTTTTTCTCTCTTTCAACAACATTACTAACTGTATTTTATCATCACAATGTGCAGTTATTTCAGACTTCTACAACTAGTTTCACCCTTGTGTTAATGTGTTATGATTGTGGTAAGTGTAGATTTTTTTACTGACAAATTTGGTCTACTTCTAGCTGGTTTTGTCATGTGAGAACCTACACTGAAATCATGAAATACTGAGACAAATCTTACTCAACAGGAAGTGTATTTCGTGTTGTTTTTTATCAATACCTTTAGGTTAAGTATTATGTAGCACAACTAATCTTACATCAGATCTTGGACATATATTTTACTCTATATATATATATTTTTTGAAATTAGGTATTATTACAAACACAGTAACAAAAAAAAACATTTTTTTATGTAATATTGACCACGAAAACTTTCAAAGTACTTTGTCTTATGTTTTTTTCTTAGTTTGACACTGGTATTCAGATTAAGAATAAGGAGATCAGGCAAACATTTAAAGAAGTATGATAATGAATTTTCTTAATTAATAATGACTTGATTTTAAGCCTAGATTTTACAGGAAAAAAATTAGACCTTTTCATAGTAATTTTACTTGGCTAGTCCTGTAGGACTTTGGATTTGTACTAAACAGGTAAAGCAGATGTAGTTATCCTCCCTCCCCCTACTGTAGGCCTGTCACTCAGGGGTAATTCTGAAGACTTACAATACTAAAAACCAGGTTTTAATATTTGTGGTGGGTACAACACAACCCATTGTGTAGCTTTGTGCTTAAAAATATAACTGTGGGCCTCTAATGACATTAAGCCTTTATTTGGCTTTACAGATCTTTTTATGGTTAATTAAAGGCAATTTTAAAATCAACTGTTAAAAAATATCTAAAGTTTACCAGGAAAGTTTTTTTTTCTAATAACTGAATTTCTACTTAAGGTACAAGGTTTTATTAATAGATGTTTTTCAGTTGTTTAACTTTTCACTATCAAATGACACTTTAAAATGTTTGTCTACAATTATATTGATACGTTCGATTTATAAAATTGTGAGTACAATATAGTTAAAATGCATTCATAACATCAAAACTGTATTCAAGGTTGTACATGACACTTTTTATGACAGGAGACTTTATTCGAACATGGGAGTGGGGGAACTCGAGATAAAGTAGGGAAAAAAAATATAGTGATTTAGTTTGACTTAAGTTTTTACCACCCAGAAACAAAAGCAAAAGTTAGCTAAAAAATAATTTTAACACAGATTTGTACGAAAGCTTCCGCTGCTTTAACTAAAGTTTAAGTAAAAAAAAAAATCTGCCTTTGTAAGTAAAATTAAAATCTACAATAATAACATGGTGCTATTTACGAATTTAGTTGCTGATGTTCATTGTGACTAACCTATAATTATTCTGTATTTTTAGAATGCTTGTAAAATTATGTAATTGTTACGTGAAGTAAAAATGTAAAAGCATACCTGTTTAGATGTTAAGTTCGTATTTCAAACATTTTCTGTATTTAATCGTAGCATATTTTCAAAGTAATTTTAAATTCATATAAGAAACTAATTAAATATAACTTTTCCATCGTTATGTCTTTGGAGATGAACGACTCACGACAGAGATCGCCGATCCTAACAAACAATATGGTGGTATTATTCATGTAGAGCCCTCTGTGGAATAAAAGTTGTTTTGGTTTTATTCACCCTGTGACTGATTTTCTTACCACAAAATGTTTTTTCGAAATCCCTTAGCCCAAAAAGATTCAGTTCTTTTTAAATTTGGCTTTATGGTATGAACGTCTTTTCACTAAACCATTTATTGCAAGATTTCGTAACACAGTTTTCATTAATGTTATTTTTGTTAATGTATTGTCAAATTAGGCTTAAAAGTCAAATGATCCCAGCTGGCCTGACTAGCTCTGTATTGAGCGTAATGCGTCATCGGCAAAAGATATGGGGGACATAATGTGATTTGAAATACATTATACGCCCTTTTACTCCTTGAAAAACCCTAAGGGAGTGAATAAAGAACGAACTGTTAAATAAACAATAATAGGCCTAATATTGACGTCTTATGACAAGTATACTTAATTATAAATATCCTTCGTTAGCTTAGAGAAGTTCACTTTGTCACAAATCGGGAGTCGTTTCGGAATGAGCCCTTTATGATAAGGTAGAACCTTTGTAGCGAATGTTTTTTCACAAATACTGCAAGAAACATGGTGCTGAGTACATCTTTCCTGATGATAAATATGGTACGATGCTTCATGTGTCAGCGAACGGATGTCCTCAATCAAGTTTTACAATGAGAGACTAATGAATTTGTAGTCTAAAGACGAAGCCTATTACAATGGAAACTACGTCGTAAAGCTATTTTCAAGATCTGTGGCCATCAGAGAGAGGATGATCGGAAATAAAGAGCCCCTAAAATCGTTTCAATACAATGAACTAATTCTTCGTGTGCATGTATATGTGTTTTGTATTTATTATTATTCTTTTATAAAACAGTTGTTCTTAGTGATATACCACACTTTGTGTGAAATTATTTAAGCTAGAATTTACTTACATATTTTAGTTCTCATGCACGCACACAAGATATGTCAACAATACACTCTTAAACCATCTAATGCGGGAGAACAACGGTTTCGTCTTTAGACTATATATGTCAACAATACACTCTTAAACCATCTAATGCAGGAGATTTCAACAACGGTTTCTCAACTCCAGTTTAACAATTATACTTTACGGCAACGCCGCTGAATCATATTTGAACAAATTTAAAATTTGTCCCATACTATATATTCGTAGTTTGTTGTTTTTTCGTGTTTGAAACTATTAGATATGAATATTTTCATTGCCTTATGCATAGCTAACAAGTTCGTAATTAAGTAATAATTAAAATGTTTATTCCTCCTTGTAGTCGCACGAACCAAAAATTGACTCGAAAGTTATTTCTGTGCAAACGAAATAAAGTAAAGAATATTATGATGTACTATAAAATTTCACTTTAAAACAAGCCGTAGGTAGCTGTAACGTTTCAAGTGCAACTGAAGTATTTCTAGATGCGCCAGTGGTTTCGTTTTTGTTTAGCTGTGCAAACAAGTGTTCGTGTAGTTTGTGATAGCAACTGCAAGGTTCTCATGCACCAGGAATAACTAGAAGAGTTGAAGACGTGTCCCACTACGGTGCTCAACGTGTACCGTGAGAACTGGGGACGAGTTGAAGACGCGTACCGCGAGAACTGGGGAGCAGTTGAAGATGTGTCCCACTAAGGTGATCAACGTATACCGCGAGGACTGGGGAGCAGTTGAAGACTTGTCCCACTAAGGTGATCAACGTATACCGCGAGAACTGAGGA